GGCTTCAAAGAGAAAGTAAAATCAACTATTACAAAGAGAGATACGAATTGCTCTTACTGAAAAGAAAACAACAACTTAATAACAGCCTGCAAACCACTAAGCTGAAACTTATGTCATGTTAGGCCCCTTTCAAATGTGGAATTTCTTATGAGTGCCGATCACCTATAAAAGTCGATGAAAGTAATTAAATACGGCAAATGATTCTGACGTCGGGTATGATGGTGCCGAATTTAACTCCGTTTGTCAGTTTTTGTTTGCTTCTGCTTTGAAAATGGAATAATAATTACTTAGAGACAATACAGTGTAAAGAATTGTTGAAAGAAAGAGCAAAAACTTGCCAATTTATGACAAAAAAGGTACTTTAAAAACGATTAGCATTAGGTAACATCGGCTGAAGTCAGATTGTTTCTTTCAGTAAAATTATATGAAGAACAACTTAAGTCCAACTTATCTGTGTTATATAAAATAAAATAGAAAAACTCCACTGTAATGCTTTGAATCCGGGTCACTTGCTTTATAGCCTACATCCATATCCACTACATCATCGATGACTAGCTGCCAAATCCAATAATTTTTAAAATATACACGTTCTTATGCCGTACCCCATTACAATATTTGAAAGCTACCCGTTTTCAGTTCAGTGCTTAACCCTAACCACTGCAGATCAGTGCTTAACTCTCTACTGTGTTCTCTGCATAACTGGCGCTCTGTAGTTTTGGTTTCTTCAGCTATTCTAGCCTCATTCTACATTCCAGACTCGTTCCATTATGAAAATAATGCGTTGTGTAAAATTCATGAGGTGTCCAATCTGGCTTCACTCGATGTTATCTAATGCTAACCTTTAAAAACGAACTAAAATATTCGAAACCCTTTGAGCACGTGACTGATGACGTCATGTCCCTATTTTGGTCATGGAAAAAATTATCAGGTAGAACATTACTTTTCCGCAAATTTTCTCTGCCGTGTGATAAAAGGTTGACTCTCTACAGCCCTCGGCCTAGTCTCCCGACTGTTTTGTTCATGTTCATTACCCCCTTAAATTTTAAATGCCGGACGTCAACTGGTTACTTTTCAATGCCCCACACAACTAAAAACTCAAATATGCTATTTGTTTTTAACTCGTTAATGAAGTCTTGTCACCGCCAAAGAAAAAACCTAAGTCGGAAATAGTCACGTGACTGATGACGTCATTACCTTAGATGTGACATGGGAAGATATTTTATGGCAAATGTTATCTTGTTGTGGTCTGACAGTCTTCTACGTATAAAATTGTCAAAGTTATAAAGCTTTTTAAAAAATTTCCTCAAAGGATTCTGGAAGATTTTTTAATATAGTTATTGTGACTATAGGATATATTTATTTATAGACTATCAAGGCGTCCTGACTACGAATATACTACAAGATGTATCCACGCCTTAAACGATGTATCTAAGAGCATTTTCAGGAAAGCGGTTCGTAAGTTTAATCTATAACAGCCAAAGAACGTAAAAAATCAAACATTTTTCTTTTACTCTATTAAGTCTTCGAAAATGCGCTGCGCCTTTTTGTATCTTGGTTTACTGATATGGGCGCTTCATTTGTCATGACCTCGGGGTCGGAGGAAATGGGCAAAATTGTATTACTGTTAGCTTATTTAGTGAAAACCTGAAGGGCGTCATTTTTTGAAAGCCCTGTAGAATGGGCTAATGTAAGTTATTTGGCACACATATCAACGAATATTGTTTCCCCTCCCCCCCCCCCACCCCCCCCCCCCCCCCCACCCCCCCACCTTCCACTGTCTCA